TGGGGGTAGCTGGTATATATATAAGACGGTCACAACGTGACGGAACAATGAGTAATTGAACTGCAGTCAGAGAATGTGTAATTGAACTGAGTATTGTTGAAGTCGAGCACGTGAGACGTTCGTTGAGAATTATAGCGTTTGTTATAGCGCGACTGTTGAAATTAAGTGTATCGCAAAGTTAAATTCATAAAGAATAAACCAGTTTTATTAAGAAAGGACTTGTGTCGCTAAAGTTTCGTCGGAACGGATTTACGGAAAATTAACTAACGAACGGAGATGTAACAATATTTTTCTAGAGAACGTAACAATTTTATGCAAATCTGAACAATAATAATGATGGTAGATTCTGTTTGCAACATATTACGTTTACAAACGACTATGATGTGAAATTCGTTATTTGTAATTGTAGTTAAAGTATTCACTCAGCGAACTCAGACAAAACAAACTCTGTCTACAAGACCTCGGTTTGGTACAGGTTTCCAAAAAAAAACAAAAAAAAACGACCTTTAGAGCAGTACCGAACATTAATAAATGACACTTGATATCCGCCAAAGTTCATACTGTTTATCAATGTTTTTTCGTTAAAGATAATAATTTTTTGGATGTAAAGATACAAGTTTGACAAAAGACTACGTACGTCCTGTTCGTTAGAGAAGACGCGGATCTTGGAAATAAAACTAAAAGGGTAGCTACATTTGGAAAGTGTAAGAATCTTACCAACCCACAGGCATTTTGTAAAATCACATTGTTGTACCGTTGTTCTTTCGTTGGGTGAGTACCTTTAAATTATTTGGTGAAAGTAAATCGAAGTACAGTTCACGTAACGATAACAAATTAGTTTATTTCTTCCTTAATGTTTCTACATTTTGTAAGTTCTAGGCCTGAGTTTACAAGTGATGTTCAAACGGAAATACCTCGCTAAACGGAACTACGACTAGTATTTGTACATTTTTGCGGCTGATCGATCAAGTAACTGAATAAACGCGATCACTAGCACTTATTGTAATACTTCACTGGACTAAACTGATTGACTCAAAACTCATTCACTATTAACTTCCATGTACTGGCTCACTCGAATCTATATATGATATCTCACATCTAGGCTTTTATTGAAGTTACTGGACATCATCTAAAATTCTGCCGCTAACAATACATGATCTTAACTTAAAGCGTCCTCTAGCTAAATTTAAATTAAAGCATTGAAAATATAGCTCACAGTAATATGCTCGTTATTTTATTAACACTATCTAGGTAAAAATTACGAGGAAGGATTTTGACATACGCTATTTATTGTAAGATACAATAACACAATGCTAATTAAATGTATTAAATAAACAAGCTATTGGGTGTTGCATGTGTTTAATGGTCCATCTAAACAATGAACTTTGCTATACAGTTGTTAAAAGTTGGCTTTATAATTTGATTATTTCACTTCATGAGGGGGCAAGTATAAAAAAATATATAGATATAGTGAGTCTTGTAACCATCACACTTACATTGTCGATATTTTATTGACCCAGGTCGACCTATATGATGTAATTAATTAATGTGCTAGTAACAAAGTATAATATTGACATAGGTAAAATCCTAGTCGTCATGATTTTTGCTTAACAAAGCCTCGGGTAAGTTGTACCTAAAATATGTTATATTACTTCATTCTAGCGTGTGCATCATGATGTAGCTAAATAAGTCATATTACTTCATTCTAGTGTGTTTATTAGTGTTGATTAATTCACTGCCACCGTTCTTATGATCCATTAAGGAATCAACTCCGTGTATTGGGATTGATTTAGCTGAATGCTTTAATATTAAATCAATTTAAATATGGAATTTATTCAACCTTATTTTTACAAACAAGTGTTTATACTCCCACCAGAAACTATTCAATTCTTTATGCAGTCAGTTAATGTAACAATTACACAACTAGAAACAAAATCCTGCGATGTTGCGTCGTAACATTTATCTTCTTTTTTTGTTAGTTATTCGACATCTTTCTTGATCTACCTGATAATAATTCCAGATAGAGTTGATAATTCCTTTTGTGAAATCATCATCTGGCTTTATTTGTCAAAACATCGTTTTATTTACATTTATTATTGCTACTATATAAAATAAGCGAGAATCACAAACCAAGGAAACTTTCATCTCAGGTAGACTAAAATCCAGTCTTTATGATAGTTTCAGAGCCACACGTAGCTTAAAACCTAGACTTTAGAACATTTCAATTATAGAAGTATATCAAAATGATAAATTCCCGAAAGTGTTATACTGCTTCAAAGTTTATCTGCTTTGGCTGCATCATTTTTATCTCGTAGTCATATATATATATATATGTATATAATACAACATCAAGAATAAAGTGTCTCAAATGTATCTGTAATGTGCAATATCATTATATGCCCACCAGGTCAAGTTCACAGACTCATATCCATTCATCCTTGACCTAATGTACTAGTAGTAAAAACAAGCAGACGTCCTCCTTTAAATATGGAAGTTTCTTAATAAATAAGCCTGATCTGTTACTTCCTAAACACCGAGTTCAGAAGACGGCGACCTTGACCCATCCAGCTTTCGCAGATGAGAAAGTGCTTTTAAACATAGTCCGAGTGTGGCCTAGATGTTACTATGTAAATCCGAGAATTCGTGATTGACGCGTGATTATCCTAAAACCGCGCTTCATACTTTGTGGCCGTGGATGCTTCATAAGAGTGACGGTCCAATCTCACTATTCGGTCAGACATAAATAGCCCAAAAGTTGACGGTGGGTACTGTTGACTATCTGCTTTCTTTCTGGTCTAGCAGTTTAAAATCAGAAACAATTATATTCAGATGACCCTTTGTGTAACTTTGCGCCAAAAACTCAAACAAAGAAGTATTTAAGCATAGCAAAACAAACACAGAAAATTTAGAGGTATATGGCGGCTTTGGCCTTATTTTTTATCCATATAATCATGTATACACATAAGTAAACGAAATTTTCAACTCCCAGCAACGTCACGCACCATAAACTCAGTGCCATGATCTCATATCTACATATACCTTGAATGGGTTCATGACAAACTACAAATCTCGAGCTGAGTTGCACGTGTTCCAGGAGACTAATGCAGTCCTGGAAAGAAATTGAGCCTGTTTCAGGTCTGACGGGGATTTATTCAGGACATGACACAGTTCGACGGCATTCCAGCGGCCTTGTGACTTCACTTACTTCCCATTCGCTTACCTGGCCCCTGGGGAGGTAGCACGCTTTCGATATCTTGACAAGCTGGTCAGTCTGGAACGATTGCAGTACACTAACCAGGTGCTTTTGAACATTACTACTGGGAAAAGGTAAATCTTGAAAATGTTTTAAATTAAATATTAACATACACCCTCATTTGTCAATTGGTTCTGAAAGGAGGAATCACTGAATATACGAGAATATCTTATTGTATTATTTCCACATTTTCTGTAGAGTTTTATTTATCTTTGAAAGCTCTGCATCAATTTCTGTGAAATTGTGTCACGTGTTTGCACATAAGCATGCGGTTACACCTGTAACCTGGTTAGGTGTAGTTATCCTATCTTAAAACTGTGCTGAAGTTTTAGCAAAGTCTGAAGAAGCTGAGATCATGTGAAACTGTAAACTGTGGGGTAGTTAACGGTAACTATATTTAATTAACAGATTATTCTTGACTCTTACTGATCATTTACAGTTATGTTCATTTTACGTCTGATTTCAAACTTTCGAATTTATATGGCCAATCGTGGCATGTCACTTAGATGTTATTGTGCACTTCTCAGTTCTTATTATTTTTAACTTCGCAGGTATGGACGTAAAGACTTTACAGGACAATCTGGCTTATTATGGTCAAGAACACCTGCTGAAATTTTGGCCATCTCTGACTGACGAACAACGCACCTTACTGTACGATGATCTAGCTAGCCTAGACCTGGCCGAGGTGACAGAAATCTTCCAGCACTGTAATATTACACCCTCTGAGGAAAATGGGAAACTGGATGAGCTCCTCCAGCCGATCCCTTCCGAGCACCACGGGAGTTTGTCTCGCACCAGCCCTGATCTTCTCGACATTTACCGGAAAGAAGGTGAGTGGTTTCCTCTCAGGTTTACTTTCGAAACAACTTTCCCTTCAACTTCCACTGCTCAGTTTCAAATAAACAATATACAGTCATTGTTTCTTAGTGAAAGCCTCGCCTCAGGCCACGTCCTAATTCAGATCTTATTCACTTTTACGACGCTTCTTTCCAGTATCTTTACTTAGAAGGAGGCTTATCAAGAAATACATTAAAGTATTACGTTGGAAATGTTATTAGTGTTATTTTATATTTATCGCTAGTCAGTTTATCATCATTGAGCCAGTTTTTGTTTATGACTTTAAAAAAAATGACAATATGCTGGTGTTATTTGATCTAGTCACACAAGCTATAAAAGATCTCTATCCTTTTGATGCACTGCTACACAGAATGAAAGTCTTTGTTTCAGTGTGCAAACAAGGTTTCTAGGAAATACATCTAAGCAAAGAAAGTACACTTCTTACACAAATATATATTATTTTCACGTATTTAATCTAAAGAACAGATTTTTAAAAAGACACAACAGATCACCGTTAGCTTTAGAAAAAGAACGACCAGATTTTAAATCTAATGGTTTATGGTCCCCATGCCGCTTCTGCAAAAACTCGCTCTGCACTTAGGACTTGTGAGTACGCTATAAGTATTTGTAATCTGTTGTTAAGCCTGATGACGACTCCTGAAGTGGGTCGAAAGCTAGCTCCAATTAAAAAAAAAAGAACAAAGATTAAATATATGAATGTGTGACAACATATTTTTACGAATTTTCGTTCTGATAAGTATCTGTATTTATGGCATAGCTACTAAGGCTATCTGCCGCCGTTTCTAATTTTGAACCATTGACCAGAGGGAAGTTAATTAGTCAGAAGCACCCTTCCACCCATGTTAATGGATTGGCTGTTATTGTTAAACGCTTAAATGGTAGAGAATATTATGATTCGAACCCAGCTCGCCAGTTCTAAAGTCCACAACTCTACCACAGGGCCAACCGTGCCACAAGTTATAAGATTGATGGTCCAATGCCATTGCTATTTGGTCAGACAAATGTAGCTCAAGAGTTAGCGATAGGTGCTATTGACTAGCAGTTCAAAGTTATGGACGGTTATGCGCAGATAGCCCTTGTATAGCTTTTCATGAAAGTTGTAAACAATTGATAATAAAAACTGACTGTTTTAGATCATGAATATAAACTATGAGGGAAAATTATTTAAGAAACACAACAACCACAATAAAATCACTATCTGAATCATTAAGTTATCGAGGAAATAATACAGCGCCAGTCACGGTTTTTCTATCATTCTTTAGCAGTGGTAGAGTAAAATGACAAAATCATGACAGATGGCTCTTAGTAAAATCTTATAAAATTTTGTATGACAGTAAAACGTTTTATTTGTCTTGTACTTGAAAATTTTCAGTGCTCAGCACGATCAACCCCCCTGTTACTAAGACATTAAACACACTCATATGGACACCTTGCGTACATTTTATACACAGTTTTTATTTATGTTATCCACGTATTTATTAAATAGAGTAAGTGAATTATAATTCTTCTAAGAGATTGTAAACTTTTTCTAATAATTAAAAAGTACATTTCGGCACATAATATTCTCATGTTGGTAATCAAAAGGTTAACTTCGTGTAAGGAGGGACTAGAATTACTCAAACGTTGCGTGAAGAGAATGCTTTGTGTTACGTATTGAGAATTTGAAATAATCCAAGGCCGCGTTAAATAATTTAACTTTTTATAGTTGAGACGTGCCTTGGGTTTAGGTTTAGAAATATGCCGGTGTTTTATTTAATTTACGCTATTTGCCAACAAGACTGATTCACTACCGTTTTTTTTTTTTTTTTTTGGTTTTGACGCAAATACGTTTTAATATATATATATATATATATACAACACTATAATTTACAATAGCAACTATTGTGAAAAATTATTACAAACAAAGTTTTATAGACAGAAATTTCTATAACTTACAAATAGCCTAAAACCGTCTTCCTAGTTCTGAGTCTTCTTGATATCCAGCGAGTTGTACGCATATATCATTTTGGCGGGAAGCTAGCTAGCTTTGTCAGGCACTGAATTATTGGACGGTTGAAGTAAGATAATATTTTCAATTATGTCCGATGAGAAATTAGTAATATTCTTGGAGAGATATTAACGTTTGATGGGAATTCACTAACGTTAGAAATTTATAACTGTTCCTGGTTTAATGTTGTATATTTTCCGGTTGATAGGGGTTAGCAAAATCACAGTTTATAGCTTACACTGTTATAACAGTTTCATAGTAGACCTGTCTGTTCTCTGTTGTGTGCTGCTTTTTTTGGCGTGATGTCTTGCTGTTTTTTTGTCGAGACACACTTTCTAGAACCTTCTCATTATACCGGATAAGGAAATGGATAATATTGTTGATTTCTGTTCACGAATGTTCTACAGTCATGGAGAATATGCGGGAATTTCACCATACATAACTAACACAGTAAGCTATACACGCCCTCAAATATAAACAAATATACAAACAAATGTTGACATTAAAATAAATATATCACAAATTCGTTATACGCAACACATATCTGATAATACACGTCATGCCTATTTCTAAATACAAATTCAATCCAAACAACATTCATATTAAAAATAAATACATAATAATAAATTCGTTACATTTGTTTGTTTGTTATCACACACAATGATATACAATGGTCTATTTGTGCTGTGTCCATCATGAGTGTCGAAACCAGACTTTTAGATTTTTTATATGGAGAGGAGGCAATGAGTTAATTTGGAGGGTGGGGCGGAAGTGGTGGTCACTGAAACAGTTTTTTGCCTAAGTTACATTAGGTTACTATATGGTGAGTTAGAAAGGACTCAAAACCCCCATAAATATTATTTACACATCTCCATTATAAGATGCGTAAGTGTATTTCTTTGGTTAGCTGACCCAATCTGTGCTGATGAGCCTTCAATAAGCGATACTGCAGCTCACAGCAGAGGGCGCGATCAATCAAAGAATGCAATAGACCTCTATGCCACAGATTATATTTTAAATTTTACCTTTGGTGATAAGAAAATAAATCTGTAATATAATCATTAAAATCGTGCATACGGTTGTGTAATAAAATGTATTGATAAAAGTATTATGTCACTTGGCTTAATACTGGTATTAAAACTCTTGTTGTACCGAAAGACGTAGCATGGTAATTTTCTATATATATTGTTATAAATCAACACACAAATTTTCTACTATTTACAGGTACGTATTACAAATGATTCTCTCAAACAAC